CGGATCCGACCTGAAGGCTCCAATGTAGGTCCTTTTTGGGTTAGTTAGGGGGGTTCGAGAACACCACCCCAAAAAGGTACTGCAGAGGAGCCTTTAGGTAAGGTTCATAGTATGCCTTGATGAGCAGTATAGTCGTATGGGGTATATGACCCCAATAAATGCTGGGTTCATGTGGTCCCCCAGGGTTCAGTTGGTCTGAATTCAGGGTGCAAGGGTGGGGGGGTTTATTGCAGACCTTAATCTACAAAAGCCACCAACAACCCCAAAAAATCGAACTCCATTGGTTTAGAACAGCTCTAGAGATAGATGGGCGGCAGAACGTTCTTGCTCATATTGCAAAGGTTGCAGTGGCCTTTCAATCACGACGGGACATTGGTTCAGGGATCAGGGAGTTTCCACTGCGACTTGCTGTGCGCTCACTTGCAACCTCATTGCTGGACGGAGTGCCCTCATCATTTAGGGTTTAGGGTTTAGGGTTTAGGGTTTAGGGTTTAGGGTTTAGGGTTTAGGGGTGCCATAGCCACGGCCATACAAGTAAGCTTGCCAGGCCATATACATGTTGGCCTCCAGCCGCACATTTGGCCTTGTCCCGTAGGTAGTGGAAGATCATGGATTGCCAGAACAGAAGAATCGATCATGAAACCTCAATGTTGACACAGCCCCAAAAAGGGTCCATGTACCTACATAGTTGATACTTGGGGCCTTAAAAGGGGTTCCTATATAGTAGCGTCAGGGCTAAATTTTATACTCTACATATAGATACCAAAACCCTAAACCCTAAACCCCTAGACCCTAAACCCTAAACCCTAGACCCTAAACCCTAAACCCTAGACCCTAAACCCTAAACCTAAAGGGCCCTTAGGGAGCTAAGAAGATGATGCACCACGCGGGGTCCAGGCATCGAAGCTGACGTCATTGCAGCTTGGACGTCCACTGGAAACCTACAAGCACTTGGAGATGGTTTAGGGTTTAGGGTTTAGGGTTTAGTGTTTAGGGTTTAGGGTTTAGGGTTTAGGGTACTTATTAACCCTACTATAGCTGTACTTGTAACCCACTTATAAGGCCCTTAAGTGCCTTGATTGATGGGGTTATCATTGGATGATATGTGCAGTTATAATTGGGTTCATGAATACCCTGAGCCGGCCTGAACCTACAACGGACGAAAGGAGGACCCTTATCGGGGACGTTGGGGGATATTTAGGGGTTAGAGGGTTTGTAGGGTTTGCAGGGTTTATGGGGGTTTACAGGGTTTATCAAGGGACTAAGGGTTCTTTCGAGGCTATTGAGGTATTTCTAGGGACGATCTAAGGTATATATATATATATATATAGGGGTTATTTAGCGGAATAAGATTCAGGGTCCTACCTGAAGGCTCCAATGTAGTTCCTTTTTGGGTTAGTTATAGGGGATGCTGGAACACCACCCCCAAAACAGGTCCCATGTAGTCTCCAGGTTCATGCCCTTGAGAAGCTCACTTTCTTGGGTTTAGGGTTTAGGGTTTAGGGTTTAGGGTTATCCTCGCGTCATCATCCAAAAGAGGCATCGGCTTGGCACACGTTTCCTCATGACTCCTGGGCCTTTGGTCGTGTGAAGGAGCCCGCGGGCTTTGGACCAAGACATCGTAGGGTTTAGGGTTTAGGGTTTAGGGTTTAGGGTTTAGGGTTTAGGGTTTACTCATTGGCAAAGGAGCCTTCCACCCCGCAACTGCAGGCAGCACATTCCAGGACACCTGAAGCAACAAAAAGGGTTTAGGGTTTAGGGTTTAGGGTTTAGGGTTCAGGTTGTTTGGCTGCAGAGAGAGTTCGGGCTACAGCAGGTGACCACACCGACCCAAAGCTGTCTCCCATATGCAGATGGACCCCGACAGGCCCTTGCTAGTAGAACTCCTAAACCCTAAACCCTAAACCCTAAACCCTAAACCCGAAAAGACTGATCTTGACCTCATGTTGCCTAGAGTCCCAAGTTTCGTGCGGGCCTCATTCGACGCTTCTGGGCTTGTTACCAGTACTCAGGGTTTAGGGTTTAGGGTTTAGGGTTTATAGGGTTTAGGGTTTAGGGTTTACCCGATGCTTTCCTTGTCACACTTTGTGAGTGATCAGCGCGGCAGAGTCCGCGTTGCCCGCCTTGAATGGCATGGTTTCGTCCCAGGCAGGTAGTGCAGCAGTCCTAGCCGTAAAAAAGGGTTTAGGGTTCAGGGATTCAGAGCCCTCAGCCCAGGCTTATGAGGAGGCCGTGCTGTCCTGCGAGCTTGGCCAGCAGCATTTGGCTTCCTTGGGCTTGCTGGCCACTGTGCAGCATGGGTCTATTGCGGATCTTTCAAGGGCCTAGGACCCCCCCTTGCCTCCCTCGAAAATGCTGGCGTAAGGGGTTGGGGTTTAGGGTTTAGGGTTTAGGGTTTAGGGTTTAGGGTTTAGGGTTTAGGGTTTAGGGTTTAGGGTTTAGGGTTTAGGGTTTAGGGTTTAGGGTTGCATGGTCCCGGCTGGCTGCAAGAGACCTGGATGCAAAACGGGTTGCATGGTCACTTCACTACAATCGGGGACCCTTTGGGGGTCCTTACTTGCAGGGAGGCCCCTCTTATTTAGAGTACCCATAAAAGGGAACCAAATGTAGAGCATCCTGCATATGAGAACCTCACCCCTCGAACTGACTATTCCCCCCTTTCGTAGTCTAATCTACGATGATGCTTGCTATGTGGGCTTCGTGGTGCTTTGATATACTCTGATGGGGCAGCGTTTGGTTTCAAAATTCGGGGAAAAGGGGTGCTCTGGATTCTCCCCTAAACCCTAAACCCTAAACCCTAAACCCTAAACCCTAAACCCTAAACCCTAAACCCTAAACCCTAAACCCTAAACCCTCACCAAAGAGTGAGTGCAGGGCGACCAAAGCTCCAGTCTTGAATGGCTCAGAAAGAGGGCCAACGTGCTGCTTTGTGGGGATTAGGCTTTAGGGGTGGGAAGTACCCCCTTTTCCTCACTCGTCCTTAATAAGGATTATGGTCCCCCCCCCAAAAAAAAAATATATATATATATATATATATATATATATATATATATACATATATATATATATATACATACATATATATATATAATCCCGATTGAGGGGGTTTTAGGGGTTTTTAGGGATCCGAGATCTGCGGGTCTGATCCATTTGTAGTCTCAGGCTGCCCCCCCCCCCCCCCCCCCCAACACACTGCTACACCTCCGGTGTTTGGAAATCCCTATACCTACTTGGGAGGTTCAGGGTACTGATCAACCCAATAGTTATAACTCTAATTCTAAGCCAAATAGAACCGTATTAGGGCAGTTAAGGGGCTTATGAGTGGGTGATAAGTACAGTCGTAATGGGTTAATAAGTACCATGAACGTCCAAGTAGAACCTCAAGACCCCGAACACCCTGAACCTTGACAGGCTGGGTGATCGGTGGGTGGGCTCCCTTATGACCAAACCCCCTTCAGAAGCAAAAGTGGTGTTGAAGTTTGAGCTCGGTTGTTTCGGTTTGGTATGTAGCAGACCGCCCAGGTAAGCAACCTAGAGACCCCAAGCCTACCTGCCTTAAGAACCTCGTAATTCAAGGGGGTTGAACCTCGGCCTGCGAAACAAGTAGGTTGCAGACGCTTAGTGCGTTATAAAGGCATTTCCTCACCTCTTCCGCAATCCGGTTGGGGGTCCGCAGAGGGAATTCTGGGGCAGGGTTTGGGTTCTTTCAGGTGGGGTGTTCACGGGCTTACGGCCCCCTAGACCTTGGTAGGCCTGCAACTCAAGACCGACGAGCGTGACATCGAGAGATCCCCCCAAGCCCTAAACCCTAGCGTGCGGGGGATGTGGGGTAGTTGCTGTTTGGGCAAAGAAGCAACAAGAGCTGCTTAGATGCAAGCAGAGCAGTTAGACGATGGCGATAGCTGATGCAGCAAAGAACGCCATATCGTTGTAGCCATGTGCGCAACAACCAGCAACGCTAGAAACCCAACCCATGAGGACCCCCCGGCATCAACATTCAGGGAACAAGCTGTTTGACGAATAGTAGACAAACGAAGCATATACTACCCTAAGTGAGTTGCAAATATGATACACAAAATCAACTGTGAGGCACTCAGCAAGATTCCACTGCTCCCTAATGATAAGGTCTTAGCTAGTGTCGGAGATGAAGCAGAACAAACAGGAACAGGGTCCGACGATTTCAGCTGCGAGGCACGAGCCTCGCGAGCTTCGCAACTTCGAGTTTAGGGTTTAGGGTTTGCCTCATTGGACATCCCCAAACTATGTTCTAAACAAGTTGCCTCTTCTGCTGCGCCTCTGAAGTGACCCTGCTTTCTTGTTTCTAGAAGCCTATCACCCTTGCTGTCGAAGGCAAGGTGTTTTGCGAAGGGTTGTTTGCTTATCATTTCCCTGGCGGGGTACCCCGCAGCACTATACAAAGGGCTCCATGCAGAGATCAAGCAGCATAAGCCTCAAGCCCGAAGCCCTAGATAAACTCCAAGTCCAAAACTCTCACACGTGTCTGTGCCATGTGGCGGTTTACGATAATCGGGGACCCCCTAAGAAAGACCCCCAAGTAGTAGGATCCCCTGTGAATAAGACCCCGCTAAGGTGCCCCTAATATCGTAAACCCCCCATGTTGAATTAGCTTATACTTACTTCCCCCCCACCCCCCCCGCCCCCCCCTATAAAGATGATTAGGGCTTAGGCTTACCAAGATATACCCAGCATGAACCCTGAATCCTAAAAAGTAGGACCGAGAGTAGGCCCCTTTTCCTTTTTTCTGGGTTTAGGTTCTCTTCCAGGTCCCCCTTGAAAACCCAAAGGGTAGCGTTTCTTTCTTAGGTTCCCCTAAACCCTAAACCGTAAACCCTAAACCCGAAACCCTAAACCCTAGACCCTAGACCCTAGACCTTAGACCCTAGACCCTAGACCCTAGACCCTAGACCCTAGACCCTAGACCCTAAACCCTAAACCCTAAACCCTAAACCCTAACCCTGATTCCTTTCATAGCCCGTGCAATGGGTGGCATCTTCTCTGGCGAGATCATCGCCGAGCTGCCAGAAGATGCTACGAGGCCCTTTTTTTACAAAAGGTTAGGGTTTAGGGTTTAGGGTTTAGGGTTTAGGGTTTAGGGTTTAGGGTTAGAAACCCTCGGGCTAGGTTTAGGGTTTAGGGTTTAGGGCGTAGGGTTTTGGGTTTTAGGGTTAGAAACCCTCGGGCTTAGGGGTTAGCACTTTGCGGAGGTGGAAGGTATAGATCCGAGAGTCTCCAATACCATTATAAGACTCTCGTAACTCGTATATGTATGTATATATATATATATTATTTAAGTTGTTGATTCATTTTTTGTTGTTTTTCCTACGGACTATAGCCTACACCCCAAAGCCGCCTGTTGCAACTCAACAGGATAATCTCTCATCAAGGGATATTGCGTCTCCGCCCCTATACTCTAGAAATTTCCAAGACAGAAACGCATTGTATGTTGAAGAGCTCATGGAGCTTATGGGGGGGACGCCCTCCCAGAAGCCTAAACCCCAAACTCTGAATCCTAGACCTAGACCCTAGACCAGAAAGCCTAAACCCTAACCTGCCAGGCACACGGCGGAGCTGCTTGGGCAGACCGCCGGCGAGAGGCAAGAGGAATCTGGATCAAGCCTCTCGGACGGGTTTAGGCTTCGGGTTTTGGGTTTGGATTGAGGGTTTAGGGTTTAGGGTGACTGGGAGAGAGACAGAGAGAGAGAGAGAGAGAGAGAGAGAGAGAGAGAGAGAGAGAGAGAGCGACAGAGAGAGCAAGACAGACAGAGGGTTTGAGACAATACGGTTTAGGCTTTAAAGTTTAGGGTTTAGGGTTTAGGGTTTAGGCAACCCGAAACCCCATAAATGAGTGTTCCAAGCGTTGGAGCCAATTATGGTGTTTCGGGGTTTGAGGCTTAGTTCGCGCAGTTTAATGTGTGGGCTGCCGGTTCAAGTCTTGGAGCCCAAACAGGCCGAGGGTTTTTTGGATTTTCGGAGAGGAGAGAGAGAGAGAGAGAGAAAACAAAAAGAGAGAGAGAGAGAGAGAAAAAAAAAAGATAGAGAGAGAGAGAGAGACGGAGAGAGAGAGAGAGAGCAAGACAGCGAGTCGCGAGTGCTTTGGCGGTCGAGGTCTTCCCTCGCGCAGCCAGCCAGAGCTGTCCTATCGAAAGCTCTGGTGCTGCCTCAACTTACCTCGTGAGGTCTGCGCTTGCCAGACATTCAGGTTTAGGGTTTAGGGTTTTGGGTTTTGGGTTTTGGGTTTAATTAGGGTTTAGGGTTTAGGGGTTGAACCCCTCAACTTTAGATAAACCGCATCGGCTTAAGCATCCGCTTCCATGTGGAAGCGGATGCTTAAGCCGTATGCGGTTTATCTAAAGAGCATGGAGAGTGGTGCAAAAAAAAAGAGTCGCAGCATCAACGCTTCAGCTTGGAGGTATTTGATAGACTACTGTTATATAGAGAGACTCAGAGAAGGGGTACATTGTTTGAGATAACAAAACCGTCCCAAGCCCTCAAACTCGCAGGGTAGTTTAAAAGGTTAGGGGTCCGGGGTTTCATAAGGGTTGCGAGAGGTGTAAGTTTTCGTGCCGGTGCTATTAGATTTGGGCCGTTCCTACGCCGCAACCTGGCAAGCCTGGGGGGGGGGGTTGTTGGGGGGGGGCTTTTCCGAACTATGACCACAAGGCTCGGGGGCAACATAGTGCATTGACCATCAATGAAGCTCCCATTGCCGACCTTTGGGTACGTAACCGTTTGGAAAGAATCCAGCATGGTGACGGAGACGTGTGGACCCTAGCCCTTGAATCCTAAACCCTTCGCAACTATCGATCATGGGTGTAGGGTTTAGGGTTTAGGGTTTAGGGTTTAGGGCTGCAAGTCAAGTGAGTGTTGTTGTCATTGCATCCGAGGCAGTAGTGGGCGCTTCTGTCCAGATCAGTTGAAGTTGCAAAACCCTGAACTCTAAACCCCCCGAAACCCCAATCATTAGAATAAGGTTTTGGGGGCTATTATAGTATGAATGTGTTTGGCGCAACAAGGGAATACCACTACTACTTATTCCGACCACTGTACTATGTGATTGTTTTGGTCTATACAAATCCCAATGGGATGGATTCAAATGTTGATTCTTTCTTATGGTTAAAGGGGAGTATAGGCAAGAGCAAAGAAGAGCCTATTATGAACCAGCAACCGTGACGTAGCTGCGCGCAAGCCGTTTCTCTGGGTGCTCCCGACAGGTTAGCATTCCCCCACTCACATGCCACCGGAATCCCAAATCAACCTAAGCCCTAAACCCTAAACCTTAAACCCTAAACCCTACACCCTAAACCCCAAACCCCAAGAGAAGTCCGACAGGACATCGGATGGCATGGCCTACATGTTCCCATCCAGGCTGGGATGTGATGATTCCTGGTCACTTCTACTATTTTAGCACTGATCACAGATGTACCCCTAAACCCTAAACCCTAAACCCTAAACCCTAAACCCTAAACCCTAAACCCTAAACCCTAAACCCTAAACCCTAAACCCTAAACCGAGTGAGAAAGCATTGAAGCCTGCGGTTGCAGAGGCTGCGGGCTTCATTCTGTTTGTGTTAGGGCTTGGGGTTGGGCGGCCTCATTGCAAAACCCGACTCTCAAGCCCTGCAAGAGTAAGGAATGCATGGCCCAGCTGGTTCTAAAAGTAGGAATGAGTGAGTTCCGTACTTCTACAGTATCCCCTTATGTACGCCTTGAAGGGATTATATAGGACTGAAATACCCACCATAAACCCTAAAATACTTTGAGGAAGGACCGGAGTAGCAAGCAGTTTAATTTCGGTTTACGGAGGGGGTGGGGCCAGAAGAGCAGCCTGAGACGCGAAGCCGATTCGCCCCTCCTTCAAGTATGGTTTGGTTTAGGGTTTCGGGCTTAGGGCTTAGGGTTTAGGGTTTAGGGAGCAGGGTTTGGGGTTTAGAGAGATACATCAGAATGGGCTAAGCATGTTTCAATGTCAGGATATTGGTTAGTAAAAATTGCATTGAAGCGGTAGAGCCACCGAAGCGTAAACCCTAAACCCTAAACCCTGAACCCTGAACCCTGAACCCTGAACCCTAAACCCTAAACCCTAAACCCTAAACCCTAACCATTTTGCAGGTGAACAGCCTGCAGCCAACCAGGCCGCCAGTTCTTCGGGTCATCAGGGCTCAGTCGGATTTAGGCTTCGAAGGGTTTAGGGTTTCGGGTTTAGGGTTTAGGGTTTAGGATTTAGGGTTTAGGGTTTAGGGTTTAGGGTTTAGGGACTTTCAGGGCGGGTGAGTAAAGTAAGTAGCCTGTAGTCCCATGGTAACCCTGCGGTATCCTTTTGCCCTGTTTAGTTTCGGCTTCCCCTCGCAAAAAAGCAACCAGCCCTAAACCCTAAAACCTGAACCCCCGCCAGTTCCCTGCAGAGTGTCGGAGAGGTCAGCTAAGCGGGCGGCAAAAAAAAACCTGAACCCTGAACCCTAAACCCTAAACTCTAGGCCCTAGACCCTAGACCCTAAACCTCAACAAGGCTACTGGGCTAGTCCCCAGATGTCTCCCTTTGTGTCTCTGGATCTGCCAACTTTCAAGAATATTTTGTTGGGGTTTAGGGTTTAGGGTTTATGGTTTAGGGTTTAGGGTTCTTAAGCAAGTGCGCATGGACACCAGCAAATGTATGATAAACCGATCGCGCTTCAACCCCCTAAACCCTAAACCCTAAACCCTAAACCCTAAACCCTAAACCGCGAAGCCTAGAAACCCTACAACCCCTGAGGCGGTTTGGGAGCGATGCCAAGATATCCCCCAAGAGTTCTGAGGCATCCCACAGATACCCTAAGGGTCCATGTACCCAAATAAGGAATCATTACTTGGGCCTTAAAGCACCTCCTATATAAGGACTTTAGGGCCCAAGTACATAATAATGAGGTACATGGACCCTTAGGGATATATACTTGGTAGCCCAGTGGTACCCCTTTCCCTTTTTTTAGTTCTGGGTTTTCCCTTATAAAAGGTGTAAGCAATCCCCAAAAAAGGGGGTGCCCTTGTTATACGATGGCTTCTGGGCTGCCTAAGAGGATGTGGACCCTGACTTAATGCCCTAACCCTAAGGGTCCATGTACCTCATTATTTATGTACTTGGGCCCTAAAGTCCTTATATAGGAGGTGCTTTAAGGCCCAAGTACTCCTTATTTAGGTACATGGACCCTTAGGGTAAGCCCCAAAGCAGGTTCGAAACTGAAAACTTCCGCGGCCACATCCTGTTCCTCCACAGGCCAGCTGCCAAGAGCCTAAAGCCCAAAGCCCTCAACATGAACAAGGTTTAGGGTTTAGGGTTTAGGGGGGTCCGGTTTTTTTTTTTGCAAAGGTGTGGCTCGGCCCTGTCCCCTTGCAAAGGTGTGGCTTGGCTTGGCTTGGCTTGGCTGGGCGTGTCCTCTGACCTGGCTTGGCTTGGCTTGGCTCGGCTTGTCCTCTGGCTTGGCTTGGCTCGGCTTGGCTTTCGTTGGCTTGGCTCCTTGGCTTGGCTTGGCTCGGGTGGGCTCGGCTCGGCTTGGCTTGGCCTGGCTGGCTTGGCTTGGCTTGGCTCGGCGTGGCTTGGCTCGGCTTGGCTCGGCTTGGCCTGGCTTGGGTGCCGACTTCGTTTTGATTTCCCTGTTCTCCCCAGTCGCAAAGATTCTTTTTACCGCGATGTAGCTGTAGCTGGTAGAAATACGTGGAGTGTATATATGTAGTATGCGCAAGCATTGAGTTTGCAAATGGCTGCGCCCCCCCAACCCCCCCCCGCTTTTTTAAGCCGTGCAAGCTTGCGTCAAAGCATATGAGTCTTGTTGAAACCCATGATGCAAGCATTGAGTTTGCAAATGGGGGGGGCTGCGCCCCCCCCAACCCCCCCGCTTTTTTTGAGCCGTGCAAGCTTGCGTCAAAGCATATGATTCTTGTTGAAACCCATGATGCAAGCATTGAGTTTGCAAATGGGGGGGGCTGCGCCCCCCCCAACCCCCCCGCTTTTTTTGAGCCGTGCAAGCTTGCGTCAAAGCATATGAGTCTTGTTGAAACCCATGATGCAAGCATTGAGTTTGCAAATGGGGGGGGCTGCGCCCCCCCCAACCCCCCCGCTTTTTTAAGCCGTGCAAGCTTGCGTCAAAGCATATGAGTCTTGTTGAAACCCATGATGCAAGCATTAAGTTTGCAAATGGCCCCCCCGGTGTTGGAACCCATGATGCAAGCATTGAGTTTGCAAATGGGGGGGGCTGCGCCCCCCCCAACCCCCCCGCTTTTTTAAGCCGTGCAAGCTTGCATCAAAGCATAAGAGTCTTTTTGAAACCCATGATGCAAGCATTGAGTTTTCAAATGGGGGGGGGCTGCGCCCCCCCCAACCCCCCGCTTCTGAAAGCCGTGCAAGCTTGTTTCAAAGCATATGAGTTTTTTTGAAACCTAGAGGCAAGCATTGAGTTTGCAAATAAGGGGGAGGGAGTCGGGGTGGTGAGAGTGGGGGGTGGGGGGGAGTGGGGAGGGGGGTGGGGGGGGGGGGGGGGGGGGGGGGGGGGGGGGGGGGGGGGGGTGGGGGGGTGGGGGGTGGGGGGGGGTGGGGGTGGGGGGGGTGGGGGGGGGTGGGGGGGTGGGGGGGTGGGGGGGGGGGGGGGGGGGGGGGTGGGGGGGGGGTGGGGGGGGGGGGGTGGGGGGGGGGGGGGTGGGGGGGGTGGGGGGGGGTGGGGGTGGGGGGGGGGGGGGGTGGGGGGGGTGGTGTGGGGGGGTGGGGGGGGTGGGTGGGGTGGGGGGGGGGGGGGGGGTGGGGGGGGGGGTGGGTGGGATGTGGAGGGGAAGGGGGTTACCGAGCCACACCTTTGCAAGAGGACAGGGCCGAGCCACACCTTTGCAAAAAAAAAACCCTCCGCCGGTTTAGGGTTTAGGGTTTAGGGTTTAGGGTTTAGGGTTTAGGGTTCAGGCCATAATCCCTGGGGCCCTATCCCCGTCCTCCTTCCCCTAAAAAACGCCTGTCACATTAAAATGTAATCTAATAGTATATCCAGTCATATTCTTCATAGCGTGCAGTAGTATGTGCACGGATAAGTAGATGTAGATAAAGTATAAACAGTTAGATGGACATAAACAAAAAGTACACATCTACACGCACTTTCCGTACATATACATATAGTAAACACACACACACACACACACACACACACGTCCGCCCGCCCGCAGGCAGGGATGGGGCTAGTTGGGGTGCAGGGTTGGTTCTCGAGCTTTCGCAGCTCAGAACTCGAGATCTCCAAAGCCACCCCCCCCGAAGCCCAAAGCGCCTCAGTCAGGCACCGGCTTGGGTGCCTAAGCTTGTTTAGGGTTTATAGTTTGGGATGTTACCCCTTGTACTAACAGTGCTTCGTCGGGACTGTAGTACCCCCTCTTATAACCCCTCTTAAGGACTGCTAGTATAAGGCCCTTTAAGGACTGCTAGTATAAGGGGGAACATCCCAACTTATAGTGTTTAGGGCTGAGTGTCTGGAGACCGCTCCTAGAGGACTGAACCCTAAACCCTGAACCCTAAACTCTGAACCCCAACCCTAAACCCTGAACCCTAAACCCTAAACCCATTGGGGTTGTAGGGTTTAGGGATTGGGGGTTGCGAAGCCGAAGCAACACAACCCCATGGACCCAAACCCCATCGGTTGGGAACCAAGACCACCTCCTGGGGCAGCAAGTCTTTCCGGGAACCCGCAACACGAGTCACAGCTTGGGTTTAGGGTTTAGGGTTTAGGGTTTAGGGTATGTGCGCTCCTCAGACTGGCTAGTCCCCCAGCCCAGTTGCAAAAGGGTTTAGGGTTTAGGGTTTAGGGGACAATTGCGTGGTCCCATATATCTCAGAAAGTGGTGAAGATCCCAGCGATCCTTCTGCGGGGTCTCCCAGTTTCATGGTCCGAGTCTACGTTGCATGGGTTCTAGTCGCCTAGAGACTAAGCCCTAAACCCTAAACCCTAAATCCTATACCCTAAACCCTAAAAATAACCCAAAACAGGGTCATGCTGTGCACGGCGGGCGACGCAGCCGTGCACAAAGCCCTAAACCATCACCCTTAATTGGGTGTTAAACAAAAGCCTGCTCCAAAAAGACCTTGCATTTCTCTGGTAGATGGGAAGCCGACATTTCCCAGAAGTACCTTTAGACCAACCCCGAAATACTGCTTCAGTTGCTACGATTTACTTTCGATCCCCCCCCCCCCCAAAACATTCTAACATTTTTTCTTTGTGGGGCCAATTTCGGGATTAGGGCTTTAGGGTTTTAGGGTTTACAGGGTTTATAGGGTTTATAGGGTTTATAGGGTTTATAGGGTTTATAGGGTTTATAGGGTTTATGGGGTTTACTAGGGTTTATAGGGTTTTTAGGGTTTTTAGGGTTTATAGGGTTTATAGGGTTTATAGGGTTTATAGGGTTTATCGGGTTTATCGGGTTTATGGGGTTTAGGTAGAGGGGTTATGGGGTTTTGGGAAGGAAATGCCACACTCTCGGTGCGCAGGCCACTCGACGAGAGCGAGCCGTGGCCATACGAAAAGCTCCTGCCACCGCAGAGATGTTTTTGGTTTGGAAGCTATAGCCGCTGAAACCCTCGACGCCAGAACCCCTGCACCTCTAAACCCTCAACCTAAACCCTAAACCCTAAAGTACTACAAAGTACTACTTGCGATGAACAGCCGCAGCGTGACATCGTACTGCTATTGACACCATGTCACTTTTTGAAACCGTCTCGTCGAAATGCAAAGCCTCTCTGACTAAATCCCTCAAAGCTGCGTTTGGGCGGAGACACTGGCCCTTAGAACTGGAACGGCGTCAGGTTCCTTCAGGAGGTCCAAGGGCACTACCCCTTAGCTAACTTTAAACCCTAAACCCTCCTAAACCCTAAACCCTAAACCCTCCTAACCCTAAACCCTATACCCCAAACGAAGCTGGAAGAACGGCGAGCCGACCCAGCCCCCGATCCCCCCCAACCTCTCATGTTGGGAAGTTCGGAACATGAGCCCTGATCCGTTAAACCCCCCCCCTCCCCGAAAAATCCCAAACGCCGCAAGCTACCCCCCCTAAAAGCCCTAAACCTATCATCTAGGACCGGGAGTAGGCCCTTTTTTCCTTTTTGTAGGGTTGGGGTTCCCTTATAATCCCCTTAAAA